GGCAGGGCACCTCCACTCTGCAGGTTGGAGACGCTGTTCATGCGGCTGTCCTGCAGGTCCAGCATAGAGACACTCTTGTTGACGCTCAGCATCTTCTGGTCGGGCTCTGTGATGTCTGAGCTGCTGGTGCAGTAGGCGGGCGAGGAGCGGGCCAGGGGTGGGCGTGTCACGAAGAACATGTCCTTGGAGCCCTTCTCCTTGGTGGGCGAAGGCAACCGGGTCATGTCCATGGAGCTGGGGGCAGAAGAGACAAGTGGTCAGGGCTAGGCCCAGTGCTCCACAGAGGGTGGAGAGAGAAGGGGGCCAAAGAGATGAGGGCATCAGTGAGCAACCCTGGAGTCGGATGGGGGGAGAGGTGCCAGCCCAGGAGTCCTGGGGAATGGGGGTGTTGGTGAGCAGCCCTTGGGGGGAGCAGATGAGGAGGGGGTGCCAGGAAATGGAGAAGTTGATGAACACCCCTAGACCAGGGCCTCCAGGTGATAAATGACGGTGCAGTCTCTGAGCAGATCAGCTGTGAGGCTAACCTAGTGAGGAGGGCTTTAAAATGAGGTCCCACAGGGACAGGTGACCAAAACCCACAGGGAAGTGAAAAAACATGAGACCTGGGAAATGGATCAGAAATTGGGGGGTGCACGGGCTGTTATAGTAGGATCAAGAAGTGACATGGCAGAACTGGGGAGCAAAATCAAATCAGTATCTAGTTATCTGTATCCAAATGCAAGAAGTGTGGGGAATAAGCAGGAAGAACTTGAAGTGCTGGTAAAGAAACACAACTCTGACTTGGTAGCACAGCAGCTTGGTGGGATAATACACTTGACTGAAATAGTGGGATGGAAGGGCACAGCTTGCTCAGGCAGGGAAAAGGGAGGAGGTGTTGCCTTCTACATTAACAACTAGAAGTTTTACCCGGCATCACTCGGGTCCTTAACTCCAATAATGTTTGTTGTTCTTCATTTAAATCATGGTTCTGGGGCAGGGCTGAGGATGAGAGGTTCAGTGTGCAGGCTGCCCTGGAGAAAGAGGACTTTCCAGCCCGGTCTCACTGCAACAGCTTGGGGCCAGGTGAAAAGCACCCTTCTATGGCCACTGCAGCTCCAGCAGGCACTGCTGTGCGAGAGTGGCATGTCCATGTTCATCTGCCCCCTGCGCTCCGCAGAAAGACAGGGATGTAGCAAACGGGGCACTTTTCCCTGGCTCCCTGACCAAGGGGAGCAGCCAGTAATGTTCCCGTATGAATGTTCCTTGAAGGGCATCTGGAGGGTAGGAGGCTTGGAGCTGGGACAGTCCTGGATGTCTCCTTTCACCAGCCTGGTGATTCGTGGGCAGGGCTTGCCTAAGGTAGGATAAGAGGAGGCAACCTACCAAATTTGGTAGTCCTAAGTCTTACTGTTTAGGAGGAGTTTTTGAACAAACGGATGGACAGACAGACTCACTCAGTAACGGACAAACAAACTCTCTCAACTATATTGCAGATGTATACACTGGGCTGAGGTTGAGGTGGATGTAGGAGACAGACTTGTTGAGACTCTCTGGGTTAGGTTAAAAGGGGTAAAAACAAGGATGATGTCATGGGAGAGCTCTGTTACCCCCTAGCCAAGAAGAAGAGGTGGATGAGGCTCTTTTTACACTAACAAAATCATCCAAAGCACAGGACTTAGTAGTGATGGGGGATTTCAACTATGCAGACATCGGATGGGCAAATAACACAGCAGGACACTGATTATCCAACAAGTTCTTGCAATGTAATGGAAATATTTCTTATTTCAGAATGTGGAGAAAGCTACTGGGGGGAGAGGCTGTTCTAGATTTGATTTTAACTCGGGATGTTAGTGTGGACCCGTTTACATGATCAACCAAAAAGCCTGGTAGGACAAGAACTTAGGTCAGACATTGGAAAAACCTTCCTACCTGTCAGGGTGGTCAAACACTGGAATAAATTGCCCAGGGGGGTTGTGGAATCCCCATCTCTGGAGATGTTGAAGAGCAGGTTAGACACACACCTGTCAAGGATGGTCTAGACGGTGCTGGGCCCTCCCGTCAGGGCAGGGGACTGGACTCGATGACCTCTCGAGATCCCTGCCAGTCCTAGTATTCTATGATCCTTTCCCAAGGGTGGCGGAGGTTCTCTCTCAGCTCCCTGCATGCAGACTTTGCAGGGGCCCCCGAAGGAGGGAAAAGGCCCAGCCTGGCACTCCCCAGGCCTCAGGCAGAGCCAGCTTTGAGCAGGGCAGCCCCCCAGGCCATGTGCAGGGCAAGGAAGGGAAATGACAGAGCTGCTCCACAGCAAGAAGGGGGGGAGGCAGTGTGCCATGCCGTCTCGGGCCAGGACTTACCTGTTCAGGCCCCGCACCATGTAGGACTGGAGATCCACAGAGCTGCAGGAGGAGCAGAGGCAGCAGTTAGCACTGGGCAGCCCCTACCTGGGAGAGTGCGGGAAGCTGGAGAGGTCGCTGAGGGGCTCACCTGTTCAGGTCCCGCATCATGTAGGACTGCATGTCGGAGGAGGGACCCCGCAGAATGAGGGGCTTGGTTTGCAGCCGCTCCCCCTGGTGACTTGGCTGCCGCTGGATGTGCGGGTTCCTGAGGGCGACACTGATGTCGTTGAGCAGCCGAGGCAGGGGGCCCAGCTTGATCAGGGCTTCCTGGGGCCAGATGCACAAAGATGGGGAGGGGTGAACATGAGACCTGGGATCCCTGCTCCCCTCCCAGATCCGGGAGAGCGCCCAGGTGTCCCGGCTCCCAGCACTCCCCAGCTCCATCCCACCAGTCCCCACCCCCCTCCCAGAACCGGGAGAGCGCCCAGGTGTCCCGGCTCCCAGCACTCCCCAGCTCCATCCCACCAGTCCCCACCCCCCTCCCAGAACCGGGAGAGCGCCCAGGTGTCCCGGCTCCCAGCACTCCCCAGCTCCATCCCACCAGTCCCCACCCCCCTCCCAGAACCGGGAGAGCGCCCAGGTGTCCCGGCTCCCAGCACTCCCCAGCTCCATCCCACCAGTCCCCACCCCCCTCCCAGAACCGGGAGAGCGCCCAGGTGTCCCGGCTCCCAGCACTCCCCAGCTCCATCCCACCAGTCCCCACCCCCCTCCCAGAACCGGGAGAGCGCCCAGGTGTCCCGGCTCCCAGCACTCCCCAGCTCCATCCCACCAGTCCCCACCCCCCTCCCAGAACCGGGAGAGCGCCCAGGTGTCCCGGCTCCCAGCACTCCCCAGCTCCATCCCACCAGTCCCCACCCCCCTCCCAGAACCGGGAGAGCGCCCAGGTGTCCCGGCTCCCAGCACTCCCCAGCTCCATCCCACCAGTCCCCACCCCCCTCCCAGAACCGGGAGAGCGCCCAGGTGTCCCGGCTCCCAGCACTCCCCAGCTCCATCCCACCAGTCCCCACCCCCCTCCCAGAACCGGGAGAGCGCCCAGGTGTCCCGGCTCCCAGCACTCCCCAGCTCCATCCCACCAGTCCCCACCCCCCTCCCAGAACCGGGAGAGCGCCCAGGTGTCCCGGCTCCCAGCACTCCCCAGCTCCATCCCACCAGTCCCCACCCCCCTCCCAGAACCGGGAGAGCGCCCAGGTGTCCCGGCTCCCAGCACTCCCCAGCTCCATCCCACCAGTCCCCACCCCCCTCCCAGAACCGGGAGAGCGCCCAGGTGTCCCGGCTCCCAGCACTCCCCAGCTCCATCCCACCAGTCCCCACCCCCCTCCCAGAACCGGGAGAGCGCCCAGGTGTCCCGGCTCCCAGCACTCCCCAGCTCCATCCCACCAGTCCCCACCCCCCTCCCAGAACCGGGAGAGCGCCCAGGTGTCCCGGCTCCCAGCACTCCCCAGCTCCATCCCACCAGTCCCCACCCCCCTCCCAGAACCGGGAGAGCGCCCAGGTGTCCCGGCTCCCAGCACTCCCCAGCTCCATCCCACCAGTCCCCACCCCCCTCCCAGAACCGGGAGAGCGCCCAGGTGTCCCGGCTCCCAGCACTCCCCAGCTCCATCCCACCAGTCCCCACCCCCCTCCCAGAACCGGGAGAGCGCCCAGGTGTCCCGGCTCCCAGCACTCCCCAGCTCCATCCCACCAGTCCCCACCCCCCTCCCAGAACCGGGAGAGCGCCCAGGTGTCCCGGCTCCCAGCACTCCCCAGCTCCATCCCACCAGTCCCCACCCCCCTCCCAGAACCGGGAGAGCGCCCAGGTGTCCCGGCTCCCAGCACTCCCCAGCTCCATCCCACCAGTCCCCACCCCCCTCCCAGAACCGGGAGAGCGCCCAGGTGTCCCGGCTCCCAGCACTCCCCAGCTCCATCCCACCAGTCCCCACCCCCCTCCCAGAACCGGGAGAGCGCCCAGGTGTCCCGGCTCCCAGCACTCCCCAGCTCCATCCCACCAGTCCCCACCCCCCTCCCAGAACCGGGAGAGCGCCCAGGTGTCCCGGCTCCCAGCACTCCCCAGCTCCATCCCACCAGTCCCCACCCCCCTCCCAGAACCGGGAGAGCGCCCAGGTGTCCCGGCTCCCAGCACTCCCCAGCTCCATCCCACCAGTCCCCACCCCCCTCCCAGAACCGGGAGAGCGCCCAGGTGTCCCGGCTCCCAGCACTCCCCAGCTCCATCCCACCAGTCCCCACCCCCCTCCCAGAACCGGGAGAGCGCCCAGGTGTCCCGGCTCCCAGCACTCCCCAGCTCCATCCCACCAGTCCCCACCCCCCTCCCAGAACCGGGAGAGCGCCCAGGTGTCCCGGCTCCCAGCACTCCCCAGCTCCATCCCACCAGTCCCCACCCCCCTCCCAGAACCGGGAGAGCGCCCAGGTGTCCCGGCTCCCAGCACTCCCCAGCTCCATCCCACCAGTCCCCACCCCCCTCCCAGAACCGGGAGAGCGCCCAGGTGTCCCGGCTCCCAGCACTCCCCAGCTCCATCCCACCAGTCCCCACCCCCCTCCCAGAACCGGGAGAGCGCCCAGGTGTCCCGGCTCCCAGCACTCCCCAGCTCCATCCCACCAGTCCCCACCCCCCTCCCAGAACCGGGAGAGCGCCCAGGTGTCCCGGCTCCCAGCACTCCCCAGCTCCATCCCACCAGTCCCCACCCCCCTCCCAGAACCGGGAGAGCGCCCAGGTGTCCCGGCTCCCAGCACTCCCCAGCTCCATCCCACCAGTCCCCACCCCCCTCCCAGAACCGGGAGAGCGCCCAGGTGTCCCGGCTCCCAGCACTCCCCAGCTCCATCCCACCAGTCCCCACCCCCCTCCCAGAACCGGGAGAGCGCCCAGGTGTCCCGGCTCCCAGCACTCCCCAGCTCCATCCCACCAGTCCCCACCCCCCTCCCAGAACCGGGAGAGCGCCCAGGTGTCCCGGCTCCCAGCACTCCCCAGCTCCATCCCACCAGTCCCCACCCCCCTCCCAGAACCGGGAGAGCGCCCAGGTGTCCCGGCTCCCAGCACTCCCCAGCTCCATCCCACCAGTCCCCACCCCCCTCCCAGAACCGGGAGAGCGCCCAGGTGTCCCGGCTCCCAGCACTCCCCAGCTCCATCCCACCAGTCCCCACCCCCCTCCCAGAACCGGGAGAGCGCCCAGGTGTCCCGGCTCCCAGCACTCCCCAGCTCCATCCCACCAGTCCCCACCCCCCTCCCAGAACCGGGAGAGCGCCCAGGTGTCCCGGCTCCCAGCACTCCCCAGCTCCATCCCACCAGTCCCCACCCCCCTCCCAGAACCGGGAGAGCGCCCAGGTGTCCCGGCTCCCAGCACTCCCCAGCTCCATCCCACCAGTCCCCACCCCCCTCCCAGAACCGGGAGAGCGCCCAGGTGTCCCGGCTCCCAGCACTCCCCAGCTCCATCCCACCAGTCCCCACCCCCCTCCCAGAACCGGGAGAGCGCCCAGGTGTCCCGGCTCCCAGCACTCCCCAGCTCCATCCCACCAGTCCCCACCCCCCTCCCAGAACCGGGAGAGCGCCCAGGTGTCCCGGCTCCCAGCACTCCCCAGCTCCATCCCACCAGTCCCCACCCCCCTCCCAGAACCGGGAGAGCGCCCAGGTGTCCCGGCTCCCAGCACTCCCCAGCTCCATCCCACCAGTCCCCACCCCCCTCCCAGAACCGGGAGAGCGCCCAGGTGTCCCGGCTCCCAGCACTCCCCAGCTCCATCCCACCAGTCCCCACCCCCCTCCCAGAACCGGGAGAGCGCCCAGGTGTCCCGGCTCCCAGCACTCCCCAGCTCCATCCCACCAGTCCCCACCCCCCTCCCAGAACCGGGAGAGCGCCCAGGTGTCCCGGCTCCCAGCACTCCCCAGCTCCATCCCACCAGTCCCCACCCCCCTCCCAGAACCGGGAGAGCGCCCAGGTGTCCCGGCTCCCAGCACTCCCCAGCTCCATCCCACCAGTCCCCACCCCCCTCCCAGAACCGGGAGAGCGCCCAGGTGTCCCGGCTCCCAGCACTCCCCAGCTCCATCCCACCAGTCCCCACCCCCCTCCCAGAACCGGGAGAGCGCCCAGGTGTCCCGGCTCCCAGCACTCCCCAGCTCCATCCCACCAGTCCCCACCCCCCTCCCAGAACCGGGAGAGCGCCCAGGTGTCCCGGCTCCCAGCACTCCCCAGCTCCATCCCACCAGTCCCCACCCCCCTCCCAGAACCGGGAGAGCGCCCAGGTGTCCCGGCTCCCAGCACTCCCCAGCTCCATCCCACCAGTCCCCACAGCCCGGCGCCCAGCCGCATGTCGGAAGCCCTCGTACCTTGCTGAGCTGGGGCATGACCTCCCAGAGCAAAGCATGCAGCGTGGAGAGCTCACGGCCCAGGTCGATGTAGCCCTCAAAGCTGCTGCTGTTGGTCAGGGTGTCAAGGTTGGAGATCTCGTAGAGGAACTGCTGCATGCTGGCCCATTCCAGCTCCAGGAACTCATTCATGAACGCCATGTATTCCTCCTTGCTGCCGAACCTAGCGTAGGGTGGGGGTTGAGTCGGAGCAAAGCATGCAGCGTGGAGAGCTCACGGCCCAGGTCGATGTAGCCCTCAAAGCTGCTGCTGTTGGTCAGGGTGTCAAGGTTGGAGATCTCGTAGAGGAACTGCTGCATGCTGGCCCATTCCAGCTCCAGGAACTCATTCATGAACGCCATGTATTCCTCCTTGCTGCCGAACCTAGCGTAGGGTGGGGGTTGAGTCGGGGACAGCAGCTGCCCGCGCCAGCTCTTGCTGAACTCCCTGCTGATGCTGCCGGGGAAGAGGAGTCCAAGGAGGACAGCACCCCCCACAATACCCAGCCCCCTCTGTGCAGCTGAGCTGAGTCAGCACCCCAAGGCAGCGGACACAGGACTCATTCTCCAAACCCATGCTGTCCCCAGAGGGCCTGCCCATGGCACAGCTCTCACTTGCTGAAGTTGGCCAGGTTCTGGATGACCTTGGCGATGAGGGTCAGCGTGCGGGACGTCTGGTCGTCTGGATACTCCTGCATGAGGCCAAAAAGGCTGGGCGACATGACAGCCGGGCACAGGAAGCGCAAGAAAAGTGAGGCACTGATCAGCCGGTCAGCGATGTCCTCGCGGCCCCTCTCCCCACAGCACACCAAAAAGGCTGGGCGACATGACAGCCGGGCACAGGAAGCGCAAGAAAAGTGAGGCACTGATCAGCCGGTCAGCGATGTCCTCGCGGCCCCTCTCCGCAGGACCCCCCTCTGCTCCCGTGGGAACATACTGCAGGGAGACCGGGGCTGTCAGCGCCCCCAAGCTGTACGTCCCCCCCGAGTCCATACGCTCCCCCAAACACGGACCCCCCCTCTGCTCCCGTGGGAACATACTGCAGGGAGACCGGGGCTGTCAGCGCCCCCAAGCTGTACGTCCCCCCCGAGTCCATACGCTCCCCCAAACACGGACCCCCCTCTGCTCCCGTGGGAACATACTGCAGGGAGACCGGGGCTGTCAGCGCCCCCAAGCTGTACGTCCTCACCGAGTCCATACGCTACCCCATCTA